CCCCTTAAAAGGTCCACATTTACATCATTTTGGACAATTGAGGGGTGACATTTATAATATCAGAATACAAGTCTGAGATTTTAATTTCGTCAATAACTGAGGGACCATATATGTGATTTTCCCTTTAAAAATGACAAAAATGTGACTAAGATCACATATTCACATATTTGAAAATATGATGTCACTATCATTTTTGTCACTGTTGGATTGTTATGTCATTATTTTATGTCACTATCTGATTTTTCATGTCACTGACAACACCGCTACCGTCGGTCACCATTAAGGATGGCAATGGGGGCGGGGACCCGTGGGGAACCACCCCGCGGGGGAAGGATGGGGCGGGGATGGGTGAGATATTTCTACCCCGCTAAAATATGGGGCGGGGATGGGGATTACTACACCCGCCCCCGCTCCGTACCCGTTATAAATATATACACAAACATACATATATATACATACATATATTAATAAAATGGGTTGACGTCGACTCCCTGGGCTGCCCCGGCCGGAGGGTCGGGGGTGGCGATTCGTTCGTTCGCGGAGGTGCTTGCAGCGAATAAGGACATCCCGCTTAAAGTTCCGTTTAGGCATCGAGGTATGCCGGCGATCAAATTCTCGGATGATGAAGTATCAACGTTAGCAGATGATCATAAATTCGCTCTGGTGGGATCCTTTATTAGAGGACGACCATCAATGGAAGTCATTAGGCATGAGTTTGAAAAGATTGGTTTTAATGGAGCTCTCACACTGGGTTTACTGGATCAGCGACACATCGTCATTGAATTTGGGTCTGAAGAAGACTTTCAACGGTGTTGGATGCGGCAGAATTGGATTATTCATGGCTTCAGGATGAAGGTGACAAAGTGGACGCCGGATTTCAGTCCGGACATTGAGTCTCCTATCGTCCCTGTTTGGATCAGGTTTGACGGATTGCCCCTTCACCTTCAGGCTAAGCGTGCTCTTTTTTCCATTGCCGGGATGGTAGGCAAGCCGCTTAAAGTTGATGCAGCGACTGCTAATTTTACACGGCCTTCCACCGCTAAAGTTTGTGTGGAGCTAGATTTGCTTCAAGAAATTCCAACAAAAGTCTTGATTATGCAGGGCAATAAGGAAATTATCCAGCCGGTAACATATGAAAATCTACCCAAGTATTGTGTGAAATGTAACAAGGTGGGACACGCTAAAGAGGAATGTGGCATGGCCAGACCCCGTACACAGCAGGGTGTGGTACCTGCAGGTCAGGTAGTTAAGAAGGCTGTATCTAAGGAAGTCCAAAAAGCGCCAGAAAGATGGGTTCAAGTTCTGGGGAAGAAAAATGGAAAAGACAAAATGGTGTCAGAGGCAGACAAGGGGGAACCTTCACATAAACCTACGGCGGGATCATCAAATGAAGGGAAGGGAAACCGAGACCCGGTTCTACAAATCATTGAGAGAAGGGAGAATATGGAGACCACACATGGGGATGGCATGGTGGTTCAGGAAACAATTGTGATTGAGGAGGAAAGTCAAAAAGAGATGGAAAAACTTAAGGAGGTTATGAAGGAAATTGAGCAGCAGAATGGAGATGAGAAAGCTGATCAATGCACCTTGGAGGATACAGGGATAGAGGCAGATGGGGTGTTGATTGTGGAGGATAACAATGTTTTAGAAATTGGAAAGGAGATGATTCCAGCTGCCTCCAATGTCACCAAACTCATCTCGTTTGAAGAAGGAGGTGGAAATGTGGAGGAAGAAATAATTCTGGTGGAGAATGATGGTTTTGCTTCGGATGGTGATCATGTATCTATGGAAACCTTGACTGTTGATGCCTGGAAGTCAGTGTGTATGGAGTTACAACGCAAGGTGTCAATGATAGAAAATAAGCAAGCGGATGTTTTGGAGAATGTCCCGAAAAAAAAAGTCAAAGAAGCTCCCCCTCGATCGGTCACAACTAGGTTGGCGGCCAAGAGGATCAACACAGACCTCTCCGCAGAGGTTTCTTTATGAAGCTACTATCCTGGAATGTGCGTGGCCTCGCTAATTCCTGCCCGAGGTTACGTGAAATTGTAAGGCAGCATTCAATTGATTTTGTTTCTATTATTGAACCGTTGGTGGGTCAGAATAGAGGTGATTCTTTTAAAATTAGTTTGGGTTTTTCTGAGTTGTATATGTCAGCTAATAATAAAATATGGTTGATGTGGGACACCAGTTCTTTTGAGGTTTCTTCCATTCAAGAAAAAGATCAACTTCTCCTGGTTAAGGTGAGGTTTATTCCTCTGGATTATGTTTTTATTTTTTCACCGGTATATGGGCTGCACACAAGAGCCGACAGGGCTCGTTTATGGGAGGGGATGTCTCAGTTTGCTCAGTATGATCAGTCTGACTGGGTCCTGGGGGGTGATTTTAACATTGTATCTGCGGTTTCTGAATATAAAGGGCCCTCTAATCCTGCACTCAATGAAATTCTAGACTTCCAGGAGTGTATTGATAATTGTAACTTATTGCAGTTACCTACCATTGGCTCGACTTATACGTGGACTGGAGTACGATCCAATGGTAGAATTTGGGAGAAGTTAGATCGCTATTTGGTTAATCAAGGCTTTCTTAATAACTTTAATATGGTCAGTACACAGCACTTGAGCAAAACTCCGTCGGATCATTGCCCTATCTTACTTTTGTGTGAGGTTAATGGTGAAAAAGGCCCGAGACAATTCCGCTTTCAAAATATGTGGTTTTCCCATGACGGTTTCTTACCCTTTGTTAAAAAGAAGTGGGAGGGGTATCCAACGTTTGGTGGTATGCGTGGATTGTGTGATAAATTACGCAGATTAAAGATTGATCTTAAAAAATGGAATGTGGATGTCTTTGGAGATATTTTTAAGGAATGTTGGGCCTGCCGCGGGTCTGCGGTCAGCAATCTGCCAGCCTGCCGGTGCAATCGGACCGCGTGGCGCTTTGCCTGTTCTATAAAAGGGGGAAGGGCGTGCTACACTATCAGCGATTGCTTTTAGTGTAGCGGTAAGCGCAACGATCCACAATTGGTATCAGAGCCAAAGGTCACGGGTTCGACCCCCGGCAACAGCATGCTGCTCAGTTGTAGGCTGGCAGGTGCTGGGGGGGAGATTGTTGGGCCTGCCGCGGGTCTGCGGTCAGCAATCTGCCAGCCTGCCGGTGCAATCGGACCGCGTGGCGCTTTGCCTGTTCTATAAAAGGGGGAAGGGCGTGCTACACTATCAGCGATTGCTTTTAGTGTAGCGGTAAGCGCAACGATCCACAAGGAAGCTAAGCGGCTGGAGGCTGAGGCAATGGCAGCAGAGATCGAGTTTGAGGCGAATCCAAATGAAGCCACTAGGGCCTTATGTTGCAAGAAGCAGGCGGAACTTTTGTTACGAGCTAAGCAGCAAGAATTGTATTGGAAGCAAAAGGCGAATGTTAAATGGTTTAGGGATGGGGATGCCAATTCGCATTACTTTCATGAGATGGTGAAGGATAAGAGGAGAAGGCAGAATATCATGGCCATCAAAGCAAATACAGGGGAGTGGTGTTATGATCAAACCCAAATCGCTTTGGAAGCAGTTTCATTCTTCTCTGTTTTGTACCAGGAGGAAGAAACTTATGATTATGATAAGGTACTGTGTAACATCCCTTCAATCCTAAATGAAGATGATAATGTTTTGCTTGCTGCTCTTCCGGATGAAGCTGAGGTCAAGGAGGCTATATGGAACCTTAGCCAGGAGGCTGCACCTGGGCCGGATGGTTATGGAGGGAGCTTTTATAGGGGTTGCTGGAATTTTATCAAAAATGATGTTATAATGGCGGTTCAGGAGTTCTATTTAGGACTTCCTATTCCTAAGGGCGTGGGTAGTGTTAATATGATTCTAATTCCCAAAAAAAAGAACCCGGTGTCCTATGGGGATTTTCGACCTATTTGCTTATCTACTTTCATTAGCAAGGTCAACACGAGGATCCTAGCATCAAGAATGACATGTGTTATGCCAAAAATAATCTCTCGGGAACAGTCTGGTTTCATGCAAGGTCGAGAGATTAAAAATCAGGTTTTAACTGCTCTTGAGATTTTGCATAATCTGGATAGGAAAATAAGAGCTTCTAATATTGTGGTAAAGTTGGATATGGCAAAGGCATTCGATAGGGTGTCATGGGAATTTCTCCAAGCTATTCTAAGCAAATTTGGTTTTGGGCAGAAAGTAGTAAATTTGATTATGGGGAATCTCCGGGCTACTTTCATTTCTATATTGATTAATGGAGCTCCACATGGCTTCTTTAAGCCATCTAGGGGGGTTAAACAAGGTGATCCGTTGTCACCGTTGCTCTTCATAATAATGTCCGAGGCTTTCTCTAGAGGATTAAATAATCTGGTTGCTACAGGGGCTATTGAACCGTTTAATATGGGAAGGAGTATTCGAATAACGCATCTTGCCTTTGCAGATGATCTCATGATCTTCTTAAATGGATCCTCTAGAACTATTCTGAATTTTAACAACTTCCTACAGGACTATCAACGAGCCTCGGGGCAGTTGGTCAACAAGGAAAAAAGTTGTTTTGTAGCAGGAAAGCATACAAATATAGCTAGAGTGCTTCATATTGAAAACACACTGGGTATGAAAAGTTCTAAACTGCCATTTAAATACTTGGGAATACAACTTCATCAGGGGATTACCAAGCTATCTCATTGTAAGGAACTTTTGGACTCTTTTGATAGAAAGCTTTCTTCATGGAGTCAAAGGCTACTGACTCAAGGGGGCAGGTTAGTGTTAATCAAGCATGTTTTAAACTCTCTACCCCTGCACACTTTGGCAGTCACAGATTTGCCCAAATCAGTCCTTAATATGATTAAGAAAAAGGTGGCAGGATTCTTTTGGGGTAGTAGTAATAATAGACCGAAACATCATTGGATTAAGTTCAAGGACTTATGCAAACCCAAGGAGTGTGGAGGGGTAGGCATAAGGTCATTGAATGATATTCAAAAAATTTCAGCTCTTAAGCTGTGGTGGGAATATCAGGAAGGTGACTCAATTTGGGCGGACTTAATGAGGAGTAAATATGGTAAACGTGGGTTGGGTGATATTAAGCCTACTGATTCGCCTACTTGGAGGAGAATCAGCCTCATTAGTGATCTGGCAGAAGATATGGTGGTCAGGGATACTAATAGTATCAAATGGAAACATACAAAGGAGGGGAAATTCACAACCAAATCTGCGTATCAAGCTTTAAGACCTTCGGGGGGGAGGAGTCTTTCTTCGACTCATATATGGCATCCAAATCAGGTGCCAAAGGTTAGGTTATTCCTATGGAGGCTGTGGCATAAGGGGCTACCCTTTCCTGAATGTTTGGAGGCCTTTGCAGCTGTCTATCCGACTATGTGTCCATTTTGCAGAAATGAAAGCATCTCCCAGGACCATATTCTTTTGCTGTGTCCTTTGGCAGCTTCAATTTGGGGCTTCTTTGCTAATAGGTTGTTACCTGGAATCAGTAGAGCCAGGACCATTAACTTACAACTTATGCAATGGTGGATTAGCATTAAGGGTAAAAGTATGGATAAGGTTTATTCAGTCATCTTACCTGGAGTTATAACATGGCACTTGTGGAAGGCATATTGGGATGCAATATTGAATGACACAAAACCGGCGAAAGAGGGTATTATCAAACAAATAAGCAAATTCATGTTAGAGTGGAGCTGGGCAAATGATAAATTACGAGGTAATGATAAGCTGAAAGAGGTTGGTTTATTACCGACATCCTTTCAGCTCAGAAGGCCACAAATTTGTCGATGGAGGAAGCCGAGGAGTCCGAAAGTCAAGCTCAATTGGATAGTCTTTAGGCAGTTCGGAAAATCTGCTTCAGGCTTCCTACTGCGGGACCATGCCGGTAAGATGATTGCGGCGGAGGGGTTTCCGTTGAGCGGTTCAACGATGGGGGAAGACAAAGGGTTGGAAGAAGCGGTGCGGTGGTCTGGAGCATTCGGCTTTCCTGAATTGGAGATTGATGTTTCCTCTTTTGCTCTGCTGAACTTAGCTAATTCGAATGGGAGATATAGAGATTTGGGCTTGGCTTTTTATCACTGTCCGACCCAGGTTAATAAAGCAGCTAAGGAAGTGGCTAAATTGGGCTTGCAAAAGCATTTTACTTGGCGGGTCGGAGATACTATACCCAAAGAGCTTGGTGGTTCCATTATTCTGGATGAGTTAGATACTCCTTATATTATTAGCTGAGTTTTTTGTTGCTTAGCTTCGATTAGTTTGTTTGCTTGGCGAGGTTTGGTCTCTTTTGTACTCTCTTATTATCTTTAATAAATTTCTGGCTGATGACCCCCGGCATCCGCCCCACTGATTTTGGTGGTTTGCCTTCCGGGGTAAAAAAAAAAAAAAAAAAAAAAAAAAAAAAAAAAAAATTAATAAAATGGGTATAAACATATTTAATTAAATTATATTGTACTATTTAACAAACAAATACACATACTTATAGACATGCATACATGTATGTGTATTAGTCATGATTAGTGAAATAATACTACGTAAGTATTATATTAGAATAATGAGTAATGACTAAAAATATTTATCATAAATGATATATGAGTTTTAAAAGTGAGAAACTAAGTAAATAAAACACACACACGTGTGTATAATATATATAATTAATTGTAGTATAATTGATGAGAAATTTGGAATGGCATACATGATGGTAATATGTTTATTTATATTTTTAGTTTTATTATTTTCATAAAACTTATTCAAATTGAAGAATTATTAAAAATTCGCGGTACCATCTTTTATCGAACACAATATTATCTAGTTTAACTCTTTCAGTGCTATATATATATTTATTTATCTAAAAAATAGATTTAAAAAAATACACAAATAAGATAATTAAAATATATATATGGGGGCACCCGTGGGGGACAGCGGGGTGGGGCGGGTCTGGGAGTGACGGGGGATGGGGGAACTTTTTAGACATGGGGAGGGGGATGGGGGAGTGAACCCCTGCCCCAAACCCGACCTATTGCCATCCTTAGACTCACCATCGTCGTCGGTCACCGTTGTTGGCCACAGTAACACCGCAGCCGGCCACAGTGACATTGCTATAGTGACACCAGAAAAAGTTACAACTCGTCCACCGGCCAAATTGACACAAATGCTGCCAGTGTTCCATCCATCCCTCCCCTACTGCCCACAGACCTCTAAGCCCCATCCCAAGCAAGCACCATCCACAACCAATCCCGCCCTAACACTGCCCCTACCACCACCGTTGGCCGCCAATCCCAACCCTTTTCCTTTCCTACACCAACCCCAACGGCCCAACCCCCTTTCCAGCATCCTCCAGCACCCATCCTTACACAATCGATGTCCCACTCCCACCCCATCACCCCGCCCCCAACAATCCCTGCATCACACCACCATCCCACCCACCAAACCCCAATCTGAAGGCCGTCTCCGAACCCTAGCCATCGTGGCGAGGAAGAATATCGGGAGAGTATGGGTGGACCGGTTCCGGTTCGGGCCCGGTTCGGGCCTGGGCCCGGCCGGGCCTCGGTTCAGAAATGGGAGGCCCAGAACCGGCCCGGGTAATCCTGGGCCCGGGCCGGGCCTCGGTTCTATTTTTATTTTTTATTTTTTTGGCTTTTCCTAATTAACCGCCAACCCTCCCCCCTCACCCCCAAACCACCCCAAACCACCTCAAATGCCCCAAAATACCAAGCCCAACCCAAAAACTTAAAAAAATTCAAAAACAAAAATTAATTTGGCCCGAACCGGGCCCGAACCGGCTGGGCCAGTTCGCCAATCAAAGGGCCCGGGCCCGGGCCCGAACCGCACAGTAACCGGGCCGGGCCGAACCGCCCCCCAGACCGGTTCCCGGGCCGGGCCGGTTCAAACAGTAACCGGGCCGGGTCCAGGCCGGGCCACCCGGCCCGAGTCCATCCCTACGGGGGAGGATGACGCATATCAGGGGAGACGACGAAGAGCAGGCGGAGGGCAATGGCAACAACCAAGGCAGCTAAGGCAGTCCGGCTGCACTGTCCACAGCTGTGCGACAGAGATGGAAGCTGAGCACCAATCTATTTCTACGTCAGATATGAAGCTGTGCGACATCGATCTATTTCTCAAGCTTTGTGCCGCAGAAAAAAGAAAACGTACGGATGGGATGATTTTCAAATCTGGTCACTTTTTGTCAAATATGAATTTAGTCATATTTTTGTCCAATAAGAGTTGGGGAGTAATATTCCTGTCATTCTTTCAAGTTTAAAATGTAAATGAAATTTGCCTCACTGTAAATGCAATGTTTCACATAGGGGTGGACCGGTTCCGGTTCGGGCCCGGTTCGGGCCTGGGCCCGGCCGGGCCTCGGTTCAGAAAAAGGAGGCCCGAGCCCAAACCGGTGGTGGGCGGTTCCGGTTCCGGGCCAGAACCGGGCCGGGCCGGGCCACCCGGAATGTTTTTTTTTTTTCCTTCTTCTCTTATTTAACCCCCTACCCCTCCCCCTCCACCCCAAACCACCTCAAATGGCCCAAAATACCTAATCCAACCCAAAACTTAAAAAATTTCAAAAAAAAAAAAAAAAAATTAAATTCCGGCCCGAACCGGGCCCGGCCCGGCCGGTTCACTAAACTGGAGGCCCGGGCCCGGACCGGTATACCACCGGGCCTGGAGGCCCGAACCGGAACCGAACCGGTTGACCGGGCCGGTCCGGGCCCGCACAGTAGCGGGCCGGTCCGGTTCCGGGCCGGTTGGCCCGGCCCGAGTCCATGCCTAGTCTCACATATTTCGTATGTTATACGGAGTATAGAAAAAGATCAATAAAAAAGGTGTAATAAAAGTATAAAGTATAGTTAATTAAATAAATAAGATCAGAAGAAAGTGAAAACAGCGGGAATTAATTGGGCAAGCTAAAAACATTATGACAATCAAAAATTCTCTCAAAAATGACTCAATAAAAAGGAAGTTAATATTAAACCAAAATCATGCTTCATAAAGAGGATACAGTGATATGTAATCCTAATAGCTAGCACACATACATTAAAGAAGTTTTTGAATTGCCAGCTCCTCAGTCAAACAATCCACTAAGGCCACCTTCCTCATCTGATTCTTCAGGTTCTTCTTTGGTCTCCTCTTTGGTAGCAGGAGCCGATGACTCTTCACCAGCTATAGCGGCAGTAACTGGTGCAGCAGCAGCAGCAAATTTGCTCGGATCCTGCAAGTTTTTCATGAGTGCTACGTATGTATCATGGTATGAACGTGTATTGTGTAGGCTTTGGAGATGAACACTTCTGAAGTGCCACTTCTCGTTTTTCATTTTCATGTTGTCCCAGAACAGGTTTAGGAATTTAACTGATAAGCATGCCAAATCCCGAACAAATAGAGATTTGGCCCAATATGTGATGGTATAGCAACCACACAATCACTTTAAAAACAATCAATCCAAACCACCTTCTATTGGTTGTGCCATTTTCCTATCCTTTTAAAGTACTTGAAGCATTTCCTTCAAACATGTAATCCGTCCAAAACCACCTTCAATTAGTTATTTTATTTTCCTTCCCTTCAAAATTTATAACATTTACAATAGCTTTTCCACTAACTTTTTATAATAAAAAAATAAGATAACGAAACATCATGAATACCACTGTATTTTCATGTTATCTAATACTATTGACTTACCCAACTCATTTACTATAATAAAATTGTAAATGGCTATATAATGGAAACACCAACAAAAATTGAGGAAGGTTCAGCTAACCTTCAGGTATTCCTTGATCTTGTCAGCTTGTGGGAAAGAGTAATCTGTTGCTAATGCAAAGGAGAGGATGTTCTTGTAGGCATTGATGAGAATATGAGGGACAGCAGCAAGAGTTGGATAAGAAAGAGCCAAAGACATGGAGATCACAGTGGTTAAACCGGCACCAAATTTCTCAATGAGATCATCTTCAGTAAGCTCAAGAACCTCAGGGCTGAACACAGATCCATTATCATAGACATGATTAACTACCAGCCCGTAAGAGAAAGGTTTGATTCCGAGCTTTGCAAGTAAAGCTGACTCAGATGACCCCACCTTGTCCCCCTTCTTGATCAGATCCACTGCAGTTATAATTTCCACAGTACCTTTGTTGATCTTTGTGGCTATGTTCAAAACCTGAACATCGTTACAAGTACATATATGTCAGGTGGATAAAGTTAAAAGTGAAAACTGAAAATAAAAATTACACTTGCTGAGTGCTGACTATGCCTTAAACTAAAAAAGTTTTACAAATTTGCTATAACATCAAAAAAGCTTTATCAAGTGCTAATAGTGTTTAGTGTTCACACACATTAAAGTACTGTTGC